TTTGCTCTAGGGTTCAACCAATATTTCGATGGATACCCATCTCTATGGAAAAAAACGAAAAAAAAGATGCCTATATATACGTATATCTTTCAGTCGAAAACGTCGATGGAGACTCCTGGCAAATTAAAATTTCAAAATATTTGTAGGAGTCATCTAGTTAGATTGTATTGTTAAGTAATCAATGATTATGACTGATTTATTTCTAATGAATGCTACCAGGCATGAAATACCCAGGATTTTAAAGGAACCCAACTGTAACGAATCACCCTTGCGCTCTGATGACTCAAAATGTTTATTTGATCGTGAATAGGAAAACGATTTTTTTCTGTCGGAGACGACAATAGGTCCATGTCCAGGAATCCTATCGGATTCTGTTGGGGAGTCGGATCCCATAGGATTCGATGAGATCCGTTGTCGGATTCATTCACCTGGGTATTGGTCGGAAAAAATTCATAGACATTGTAATGACTGGGCTAATTCAGAAAATATTTCAAAAGTCGAAAACGAATATTTTAACATTCATCAGAATGTGAAATTCAACTTTAATTAAAGTGCACTATCAAGGGCAGATATAGATTGTATGGAATTAGGAAGTATGCAAAGAAGTTATTTTAGTGTGAAAAAGTACGATGCTGATTCAGTATTGCTGAATCAACAATGCAATATAATTTAACTGAAAAAGAAAAGAGAAAGTTTCGTATCCCACTAAAGTTCCGCGTGCTCTAAGAATATTCTCCGAGCTAATTATATTTGAAATACTTCTTAATTGTATCAAATATAAAATTAGCTTCTATCACAAGATCATAGTTGTTTGAATTGATTATAACTCTACTTATCGATAATGCTAAGTAGCTTCGTCGTATGTCACAGCTAAATTGTTACTGACATACAATGAAATATTTTGACACTACTAATCAGGTCCATCATTCAGACAGTCTGAAAGATGGCTTTAAACTGCCTGAAACTGTTAATAAACCGCTCAAATAATGTGATAAGCGGTGAAAAACGACCGCCGTTTTTCAGCAGTTTTTCGTCAGCTCGGATTACGGGCCGTTTTTCCCCGGACCTTTAAAGATGTCGTTCAAGGCCGTTTCCGACGAACACGGGCAATCCATTTCGCCTCTTTTTTTACCAACTGCGCCGCAGTTACGCGCAGAGCCAATTTTAAGTCGAGGTTACGCGTAAATACGGCGCATTGATCGTAGTGAAGACTTTTTTAAAATACTATGCCTAATGCGACCCAGGTCAGCGTAACTGCATTCTAGTGATCGCATCATACGATCCGTTGTAACTGTAACTGGCCAATTATAAATAATTCCTTCTTACTTGTAATTGGCTACTCTTGAACACTAAAAATTAGTCATAGAAAGTTACTATAAAAAGCACTGTTCACCGAAATCTCGGTTCATAAACACATTCTACTATAAACAGTAGAATACATATTCCGAAAAATATAAAAATATTGTCCCCATTTAATTATTATTAATATTTTTTTTATTTTTCAATTATAAAATTTTTTTAGATTTTGCTGTTAATTTTAAAAATTTTAAAAACTTTTCTAGATTTTCTGTTTAATTTTTAAAATTTAAAAAAAATTCTAGAGCTTTGTTTAGGTATTTTATTTTAAAAATTTTTCTAATCTAAGTTTTTTCTTTTCTTTATTAAATTATAAATAATTTTTTGATTGTTACAGATACCTATTTATTGTTTTCCTTAATTATTTTATATTTTAAAATACTTAGTAACTTTTAATTTTTTTAGTAATTGTTTTATTTCTCAAACTTTTGCTTTTGATTTTTCATAAAAGTTTTAATTTTATAGTTTTAAGTTTTTTATTTTCTGTGCGTAAAAATTTTTCTTTTAACTCATAATAAAAATAAGAATGAAAATAAAACCTAATCTGAATCACCTCATGTAGCAATCGCGGCGCACTTCTGCGGCAAAATGATCACACTCTGGCCCGTAATTGCAAAAAAAATGTGACTGAGCTACGCGTAACTATGATTTTTTCACCATAACTACGCGTAACTGCGATTTTTTCATCGTAGCTACGCGTAACTATGTCGTAATTTTCCGGAATTATGGGCGACACTGCGATCGCAGTTACGCCGTAACTACACCGCAGTTTCATCGTAATGAAACATATGGGAAGTAATAAAAGCGCATTATTTTCGTCCGTTCTGACGTGATGAAACCGTTTTGCATGAGAGTTACGCTGATCATTTATACTTTTTAAAAATTTAATTTAAGAATATGATTAAATATTTATTTTCAAAAAAAGTCTACACACAAAATAACATGAAATAAAGCAAAAAATCATCGGAAAAGAATAAAAAACACTGAACTAATCCAAAAATGAAAAAAATAAATATAATGAAGTAAATAGTATATAAAATAAAAGAAGTAAAATACAACAATATAAAATAAATAAAATATACAATAAAAGTAAAATAAAATAACTAAAATGAATAATACAATAAATAAAATAAAATAAAACAAAATACAATAAAAGTAAAATAAAATAACTAAAATGAATAATACAATAAATAAAATAAAAGAAAATAAGTTGAACGATAGTGCCTAGTAGTTATATATTTTACCCATATTTATATCTCTAAATAAAATAGATGTAAAACGGTAAGAAACGTTCGCCTTAGAAGGTACCCATGTAATAAAAAATTAAAATATATTCACTGCGAAACGCGTTCATGCTGCCCGATTTAACGTGTCTCGCAGCGTTTTCTATAGTAACACAGGCGAGTCGTTTCTGGCAATAAGGAAACCGTCACCTAAAAGGCCACCGTTTTTAGTCGTTTACGGGTCGTGCCTGTACGGCATGGGTATTCAATAAAGGTTAATAGGATAAAATCCTCTTGATGTGTTCATGACATTAGTTGGAAGTAGGGGTGGGTCATTTAATCTAATGCTAGCTAATTAACACCGCTAATTAACTAAAAGCATTAATCATTAATATTAACGGCTAACGGCAGGGGCGGCGGAACATCATTACGCTAGGTGAGGCTCATAATATTTTTTTCTACCGTGGAATTTTATGAACGCATCAAGCAGAAAATAAGTCTTCTTTTTATTGAACTGGAGTAAAAATAAAAATGGTCAGTATAAAAAAAATGATTGGAAAATACCAAAAAATACTTTTTTTGCTCCTGCTTTGATGCAAGAATAAAAAAATAACAATATTCAGTACAAAAGTAAGTGAGGCTGAGCCTCATCTTGTGAAATCTAGGTGAGGTGCAAGCCTCATGGGTCTCAGTGGCTCCGCCGTCACTGGTTAACGGTTTCAGTTAACGTTAATTTCAAATTAACATTAACGTACCACCCCTAGTTGGAAGTAGATTAAGAATAGCTCAGAAGTTTCAGAGAAACACATTCGCACACCGTTTCAGTAATATAATGAAGTATACATATTTTTCTGTTTTCTTGGATAAAAGTAATCGCGGTGAAAAACACAGTAATAAAATTTTTGAATAATTATTTTTTTCCTAATAAATATCTTGGTTTTCCATTATTTTGTGAGTTTGGGTGTGAACGAAGTGTAATGGTTTATTTTTAGATTTCTGCTTGCCAAATATTATACGCTTAGTCGAATTAGTACCATACAGAAAAATGTAAGTCGAGTTTTTTCTAAATTTGAAAATGTTTCTTTCTTTTTTTCCTTTTGTTTTGTCAGTGACTGATTCGATGAAATTGATGAGAGTGCATGCAGTTGATGCTTCTTAAACCAATTTTTTGCAGCAAAACAAAAAGGAAATTCATGATGCAGTTTTATTTTTGTAAAACGTACACATAGTTTGTTGTTAGTTAAAAATATAGAAAAAAATGATAATATGATACGAGAAAGCAAAATTCATACAGCCAGCATTGTTTTGAATGCCCTTGAAAGATTTGAATGTAAAAGGCGCGAAGAAACTATGAATGAATGACGCAGCATTCCATCGAGAAATTAGTACATGTGTATTGTAGTTATCATTCTACGGTAACAAATTTACACCATGATAACTTACTACAGTTTTGAGATAGTTTTAAAGCGTTTGCTATTGGTGTTTATTAAAGTGAGTGCTGGTGATGACATTAAAAATTTAAGCAAATTAAGTTCTTTTTTTAAAGTTTCACAAATAAAAAATCTATCATAGGAAGAAAAGTATCATTTTTACAATTGCACACGGTGTAACTAGAGTTACTGACATTTGTTTTTACGGAATATCATCGTAGCTTATTTGATATTTATTCTTGTTTTGTTTTATTAATAAAAGTTGACTGTTTCTTGTAAAAATATTGCTTCCGATATCTACGCTAACTTTTCCCATGGAATGAATTAGAGAATTTTACAGTAGAGTAGTGCTGTTTAAAATCCATCTAATTTATTGATTGGAAATCGGTAAAAGAAATTAAGGTTGAACTACTTATTTAACAGCATATTATAACAGTAAGAACTTGTCATGATTAAACTTTTATATGAGTACCGATATTAATTCAAAAGAATAGAAAGATAACTGTGAAATATAAACGGATTTCCTTTCTGATGTATTCATTTAGCATTTCAGGCATTGAATTTAGTACATTATCAAGAGGCTCAAAATAAAATCTTCAAGCTATTTTTCACTTTTTATTTCGACATTAACAAAAGAAATTGTGTAAAAAACATCTCATCAAACATTAAATTCAGAGTTGGCAACTATGTGAATGACAACAATACCGGTTGCCACAACACCATGATTATATTCACTTCTCTTCATGCGACACAGAATACCGCATGGCAAATAACTGTTCTTTTCTTTAAGATTCCTTTTTGTTGACAAAAAGAAAAAAAGAATTTCAGCTTTTGCTAATACACAATGATGGCAGAATCATTTTTTTTTGTCAATCTTCACTAAATATTTTCTTTTCTTCTTTTAGTTGAAGTTTATTCTGGATTTTCTTTTTGAATTCTAGTAATTACAACAAAAACATAATTTATGAAATAATAAAGAACAATCAAAAGAATGGCTGACGACATCGCTCAACAAATGAAAAATGTCCATATGGTAATTAATTCATAAGTTAATAAAATTCAATCTGATTTTTTTCCAAAATTTTTTAGGCAATTGAAAAATTCAAAATTTTTGGAAATGATCCGTAAGTGTACAAAAGTATTTTCTTACATAAAAAAATGGATAAATTTTTATTTTCGAACAGGCCGTATACACTGACTCAACAGTATGGTTTTATGAAATTTGACGATAATCAACTCGATACGACATCACGCCTTTCACAATATGTTCGACTAAGTCTTGAAATAAATGCTGAAATAGTTGTTAAATTTATGCAAGAAGCTTGGAAATTACCAAAACCTGACCTAATTATATCTGTTACTGGTGGAGCAAAGAATTGTGATATGTCAGCACGCCTTAGAAAAATTTTTCAAAGTGGCCTTGTTTCTGCTGCTATTACTACAAGTAATTAATATTGTAATATTCAATTTAATAATTTATTGTAAGTTCTAATTAAATAGATGCATGGTTAATTACAGCTGGAACAAATACTGGTGTCGTAAAAGAAGTAGGCGATGCTCTTAGCAATTATAGATATAAAAATCGAAAACAAGGACCTGATGTCCCATGTATTGGTATTGCTAGTTGGGGTTATACGGCGGGAAACGATCAACTCGATGATCAACATAAAATCTTTCCTTCCAATTTGAGCTCTTTAAAAGCACCACGTTCATTTACGAGACATCTTCACAGTCAAGTGGCACACTCGGTTCGTGTGGTTAGTTGACGAATTGTTTTGAAAAAGAAAACAAAAGCCATATTCTTTTTTACTTTTTACTAAATTTAGGATATAGGTGATCAATATCATGTTCGAAATTATGTTGTCAAAGAAAAACAAAAGAAACGCTGTGACTTAGAACCAAATCATACACATTTTTTACTATTTGATGATGGACAAACAAATGCTGATACGGTTCTTCCATTACGAGCGGAAATTGAAAAATATTCGCGGAATATTAATCTAGCAACTACTTCAGAAGGAGCAATAGAAACAGTTATACCTATTGTTATGGTTTTGGTTGAAGGTGGTCCATCATCAATTCGAACAATATGTCAAGCACTTGAATCGGATACACCAGTTGTTGTTATTAAAGTATGAAGAAAGAAACACAAGGTCATCGAAAACTTCAAAATACGAATTTCATTGTTTTGTAGGATTCAGGTCGTGCTGCTGATCTTGTTGCTGAATTACATGCTTGCTATTCCGAAGGGGATATTGCTGTCACTAGTACTCATCCGTCACGTCCTCAAACTGGCTTTGTTAAAGGTAGTTCAAAGGATACAGAAGTTCATGCAATGTAAGTTTGAATATTACACGTTTTCCCCCTATAATCATTGTGTGTTTATTCATTAATAAAGTTTAGCTAAACGAACCGATATAGCAGGCCTTGATGAAGTTAAAAACGATTTATGTAGAATATTAAATGAACGTAGAAAACTTGTGACAATTTTCAAATTCGATAGTAAACGCCATCGTGGAAATCTTGAAGATGCTATTCTAGAATCGTTATTTAACGGTACATGGTTTTTCATTAAACACTTTTTTTTGAAAATCTTCTTCATTCCAGCTGCGAAATTTTCTGGTGATTCCAATGAACAACATCGACGAACAATGGAACTTAAATTAGCCATAGTAATTTAAGATGAAAATTATTTAAATTAAATCATTCATTTTATATCTATTTAGGCATGGCATAAATTCGGTTATGCTCACAAATATCTTCTTACTGATAAAACTATATCCAAATGGAAGGAAGAAGATCTTAGTCGCGCTCTTGTCGATGCACTTCGTCGTGGATATGTTGATTTTGTTGAATTACTGATTGAATTCGGTACATCACTTGAAAAGTTAACGAATGGAGATCTTAAACAGTTATATACAACAACATTGGTATATTCAATTTAAACCTCGATCAAATTTATTTTACCGAAAAATCTTTTTTTCTTTGGTAGAATAGTGATCGGTTACCAATTAAGAATAAAGGAAAAGGTGCCGCGTGGTCAAAAGACGATTTCTATAATGATTATTTTCATTCGGTTACGGTATGAAACAAAGTGATCTGTGGATTAAACTCTAAATATCTTTGTAGCTTGATTCGAAAAAGAATAATTTATCACAATTAAATGATGATACTCCGTTAGGTAAACGTGCTCGACAAGATCTATTTTTATGGGCTGTTTTTCTTGATCGATTTGAACTTGCAACATATCTTTGTTCGAAAACTTGGGTAAGATTTAAATAATTCAATAAGTCATATCATGAAATCAATTAGCTTGCCACTCATGAAGATCGGATGCATTCAGTTTTTTAAATGTTCCGTTTCTTGTAGAAGTTGACTACGATCGTACTCCAAAGATAATCATCATTGATTAGTACAAGAGATTTTATTGTTTTCTTCCTAGAATCCATCAATGGCACCATTATTTGGTGCTCTAATCTACCGACGAGCAGCAAGATTAACACTCGATTTAGATATACAACAGCAATATGAAGAAAATGCCAAGTAATTAAGTTTAATATTTTTCATTGATTAGAATGACTGTTTTTATATTCACTAGTCAATTTGATATGCATTCTATGTCAATTATTGATCGATGTTTTGATAATGATGAACATTTTGCTGTTGATCTGTTGAAACATTCTGCTGTCGCATTTGATGATGTTGATCCATTATCATTAGCTCGCAAAGCTGATTGTAGAATATTTCTTGCATCGAAATGTGTCCAAAGATATCTTGATAATGAATGGTAGCATTTTTAGATTTTTATTTTGTCAACAAATCGAATGAAAGTTTGAATTTATAGGTTTGGACATATCAATTACAAGCGAAATTCTATTACGTTTAGAGTAAATATAGAAGATATGAAGAAGTTTAAAAACAGATATTTTACTTTCGTTGTTTTAGGTTTTTCTTTGTTCATTGTTTATTCCTTTAATTCCAATATTTTGCCTCTTTTTACCTTATATACAAAAGCATCGATACGTATGTAGAAAATAAAAATAGAATGCATGATTCTATTGATCATTTTATTGAAGATTGCCGCAACTGTTATAGATTATTCAAGAGTCTCTGAAACGGCTATGACAAAAGATGGTGTCGGGTAAGAATATAATAATTATCCTATTGAGTTGTGTATGCAGATTTTTTTTAACATGTAGACAACCAAAGAGGAGGAAACCTGTTCCATGGACAGCAAAGCTAGGATATTTCTATCGAGCACCTATTGTACGGTTTTACTATTATACAGTAATGATTCATCTGGTTCTTTGTAGATCTTTGTAGTCATCTATTTTTTTTTTATTTTTCTTGATTAGATATTCTTTGCTATATTTTTGGCTTTATTCAGCTATGTTCTTCTTGTTGATTATTTTCCTTTAAATATCTATAATGAACGACGATCTGGCTACAGCAATTTATACATCCCGATAACTGAAATAATTCTTCATATTTGTACGTGGAGTTTAATTATTGAAGAAATTCGCCAAGTAATAATATTAGTCTGTATTAGATAAATACATACATTGAATTATTTATTTTAGTATATTTTTATGAGCTCAAGAAGAGAATATTTAGCGGAAATATGGAATATTATTGATATTGCCGCTATTATTATATATCTTATTGGTTTTATTACACGATTTTTTGTTCAGGAAGCCGTTTTTGTTGCATCAAAGTAAGTTGATTTATGAAAGATATTCTTTTCAATAGGGATATGTATTTTAGAATATTCTTAGGAGTTGCTTTAATACTTTGGTACATTCGTACATTAAACCTATTCGCCGCTTTTGAAAAATTAGGGCCGAAATTGGTTATGATTTTAAATACAGTTAGTGACAAATATTGTCTCTCGATTTATTCATCATTTCTTTTTCATTTTTGTCTATAGATGAAAGATCTTCTCTTTTTCGTTTGCTTTATTTTTGTATTCTTAATGGGATTTTCAATTACATCGTGGGCATTAATCACTACAAATGATCAAGTCCAATGGTATTATGCTGATAATGGAGCTCTAGCCAATGTAACAGTATCCGGTAAAGGAAGCGGTTTGTGGACATGGCAAATATTACGTGATGTTACAAATTATGGCATTTGGAAAATTTTCGGACAAGTTGACCCTATCAGTTAGAATAACCATTATTCAATATTTCTCATTGTCACATAGTTCCTTTTTCTAGATGGTTCGGATGCATATTCTCATGTAGCTTTTGTGTTGGCTATAATATTTGTTGCCATTGCGAATGTACTTCTTCTTAATGTACTCGTGGCTTTATTTAAGTATGAAAAAAATGTTCTAAAAAATTTAATTTAAACTTGTTTCTTGTTTTTGTTTGTTTTAAGTGTTACAATACAAACTGTTGCGCAGCAATCTTATCGTATATGGCGTTATCAACGGTTCTTACTTGTTTGTGAATATAAACAGAAACCTCCGATTCCACCGCCGTTCACGCCTCTATATTATCTATATATCAGTATTCGATACCTGGCCGGAAGAATTCAATATCATCGTGAAAAAAAACAAAGTAATATTTTTATAGTGACGATTTGTTGATTATAACGATAATTTTTGTTTTCTTCATTTCACAGATGCGAATGAAACTTTAGTAATGGATTCTGTTGAATTAAATGAAGCTAATATACGAGAAGAATTTAAGAGTAAGTAAAGTAGATAGAAAATACTGAGTAATATAATAGCTAAGATCTATCCAGAATATTAGGAATTCAAAGAAATACATAATTTTTCGAAATATTGTTATCTAAAAAAAGCAAGTACTATCGACCGACAATCAAGAAAATATGAAGGGGTTTGACAGAACGATACGGACGACACCACCCTCGATACGAATGTCACACAAGGACATTAACAGCATGTCACCTATCTAGAATCTACAGATAGATGCTTTATTTTCTATATGATATTCAGTAGAATACGTCAATTGCTCGAATTGCTTGATCTTCACTGTATTCTTTGGTACTATTTTTTTTTACAACGATTTATTTAATTATCATCATAAGTAAACAGATCTGCACAGGAAAAAGAACGGAGGAGAAAAACAGAGAGAGAAATGGAAAAACAACGATGGAAAAAAAGGGAAAAATACGGAGAATGAAGGAAATTTAGGATCATAGAAAGGTTTAGGAGTCTTGACATCAGTCTTATGCCCTAATGGGAAAAGTTTTGATTAGAATTGGGTAGAATACTATGTGGTGTCCATTTGTAGTTGAATTCGTAGTAAATTTTCTTCAGAAATTTTGTCGCTGTTGGTTCTAGCTCGAGTAATTGCTTTTTGAAGAAGTGTTATCGAATATGTCTTAATTTCGGGAATATTTCCTATCTTATGTATATATTCTGTCGATGTATATATCGGTAATCCTAGTGTTGCCCTTAAGGCCTTATTTTGTATTATTTGTAAGCGGGTCCAAATCTTTTGATTTGCTGTAAGTAGAATAGGCGATCCGTATGCAATAATTGATCGAACTAAGGATTTGTATAATATTAACATTGTGTTCAGATTAGCGTTTGGGTTCAATTTGGCCAAAAATTGAAGAAGGTTAATTCTTGATGCTACTTTGGTTTCTATGTGATTCACGTAAGATCTCCAGTTAAGTTTATGATCAAAAATAATGCCCAGCTATCTTGATGAAAAAACTGGTTTTATAATAAATCCTTCAGTTTCCATTTCTAATTCATTCTTGTATTTTTTTCGTGGATGCTGACTGAAATGTAGTAGTTCGGTTTTGCTAGGTTGAATTGTTAATTTCCACGCGTTACACTAATTTTGGAATTCATTTATTGATGATTGAAGTCGGTTTTTAAGATTTGTAATGGTATTCGATGACGCCCATAATGCTGTGTCATCAGCAAATAGTCCATGTTCAGTATGTTGATGAATACAATTCATTGAATCACTCGTATATAGTATATATAACAAAGGAGATAATGGTGACCCTTGTGGTGTTCCACTTCTCAATAAGAACGGTTTTGATAGACTATTTTCTATTTCTATTGAAGCAGTCCGATTATCGAGAAATGATACAATATATCGAATTAAATAACTTGGTAAACGCAGATCGTATAGCTTGTAAATCAATGCGTCAAACCAAACGGTATCAAATGCTGCTTTGACATCGAAAAAAATTACTGCTGCATGTTGTCGTTTATCTAGGTGTTCATGTGCAAATCTTTCGAGGCGGTAGATATTATACATTGTACTTTTGTGTTCTCGAAACCCCGCTTGATGTATAGGAAGAATTTTTCTTTCGTTTAATTCTTTTGCCATCCGTTGTTTGATGATTTTCTCTAGAATTTTTCCTATACAACTTAGAAAGCTGATTGGACGATAGCTTGATGGTTGCTTTTTATCTTTTTTCTTTTTAAGTAAAAGAATGATGTTGGTGTTTTTCCAAATATTTGGAATATGTCCAATATCTATGATAGAGTTGTATATCTTTTCAAGATGTTGAAATAGTAATGCTGTATAATTTTTAAGACAACGATTGTGTATGGAATCAGGACCGGGTGAACTGTTTGGGAACTGTTTTAGAATTGTTTTTATTTCTTTGATAGTTATTGGAGATGTTAAGATTCTATTGACTGGCCCTTTTAATATTCTTTTGATTCGGTCGACCTTTTTTCTAACTTGATTATGGAATGGTAGATGATCGGGCTTCTCAACAAATATTTCATTTTCAAAATATGACGCAAACAAATTGACCTTGTCGTGATCGCTGTTGCTAGTTATATTTTGGTAAATTAGATCGGCTGAGTGAGATTGTTTTGCTCTTTTGTTATGAAATTTGCGGACAGTTCCCCATACTTTATCAGAGCACATCTTGCTTCCGCTTAAAGATGACATGATTTGATTCATTTTTTCAATTCGATCATTTCGGAGAGCATTTGTTAGAAGTTCTCTACTCTTGTAATATTCCTTTTTGTCGTTTTCATTCGTTGTTTTTCTCCATCTTCTGTAAGCTCGATGCTTACGATCAATAAGGTGTTTTGTTTTTATAGAAATTGGAAAATTTGTCAACCTTTCATTTGTAGGTGGTATTGATAATTTCGTTGTATTAAAGATACATTCGGTAAGTGTTGTTGCGTAAGATTCAATCTCTTGAACTGTTGTGATTGATTTTGTTCTATCGATATTACTTACGTTAGTAGTTCATTTAATGTTTTCCGATACAACTGCCAATTTGCTGATTTGAAATTGAAGGATAATCTAGGAGAAGATGGTTTATTATCAGCTGTCATATTCAAATTAAATGTTAACGGTTTGTGGTCTTCTTTAAGGCCGAGTGGTGTTTCTGTTTCGACATTGTCAATAAATAGAATGGTAGGTTGACTTGCAAGAATCCAATCGATTTTTTCTTCATAGTTGTTTCTTGCATAGGTAGTGAGATCATTATCAATGCATTGAAGAAAACCATCATCAAGAACTTGTTGGGAACTTGTTGTAGTTGACGATCTTTTACATTTGTTCTTCTTGATCCCATAGATTGAAGCGAAGCATTTAGATCTCCAAGAATAAGGCAATTGTTATTTAAGTTGTATATCTGATTTAAGAGTTCATGATGGATTCTCACATTAGGTGGAATATAAATAGAAGCTATGAGAAGGTGTCCAAGTGGTGTTTCTATTTGAACTGCAATTCCTTCATTGTTTTCAATTGTCTTGTTTAATTTTTCATGACATATTAGATTGTTGCGTAAGGCAAGTAGTACTCCACCTCCTTGTCTATCCGGTCTATCGTTTCTAAAGATTTTATAACCTGGGAGGGAAAAAAGATTATCTGGTTTGAGATTGGTCTCGTTGATTGAAAGTATATCAAATTTATTAAAGCGCGCACATATTTCTTCTTTATGTTTTTTAATTGACGTAACGTTGCAGTGCATAATTTTAATCAATCTTTTGGTTGATAAAATCATCGATATCACTGTCATATTTATTTCTAGAATCTTTTTTTGTATTTGCTTGCTTTTCTGAAAAATTAGTTGGTGAGATGTATTTTCTTTTGATTCGATTAGATGGTGTTGTGATAGATTCATCATTTTCATCTTGATTTTATTTGGTTATTTGCTTTAATTCTTGATATTGGTTGTTAATTTTCTTTTTATTGATTTTGCTTTCTTGTTGATTATATTCTCTTTCAGTGATAATTTCTTCAATCTCCATATTGAATTTCTTGTTGATTCTATTCGTTAGTATTTCAAATCTTTGATTGAGAGTTTGAAAAATCCTTTGTGTTGCTTGTTCAACAATTGACATAATTTTTTCAGTAAGTAATTCAATAATTCGTGTTTCTTCAATTCTATCGGTAGTTTTCAAAATAGGAAAATCTTCATTACTATTCCAATTATAGCCAGGTTGGATTTGATTTGTCGGTTTCGTTGATGATGAATATTGTTCGATTGTTTTCTGTATCTTTTGTTGATGTTCTTTATATTTTGGGCAGTCAGGAGACGTTGCTACATGGTGTCCTTTGCAGTTACAGCATATAGGATTTTTGACTACTGTTATGACAAGCATCATATGTATGATTCGCATCTCCACATTTGGAACATATTTGACTATCAGCTTTGCAGTATTTGGTTATATGATCGTATTTAAAACACTTGTAGCATTGTGAAGGTTTATTATTATGATTTGCTGGTTCAGCAATAAAATGCATGGAATCAATTTGCATTCCAAGTTTGACAAATAAATCTCTATTTGTTGAATCAATGAAGGTGATTTTGATTGTTTTCGTTGGTATTTTATCTTTGTTCAACAATCGCTTAATTTTTTCATATTTAAACCCTTGTTCATCTAATGTTCGCTTGATATCATCATCCACTATTTCTAAGTCAACCCTCTTGATGAATGCTTCTTTGTTATTTTCCATTATTCTTTGAATAGAACGCAGAATATAAACAGAAGAACATTGTTTTTCATTGATTTGAATAATCGATGATAATTCATTCAGAAGTCGATTGAATGATTTAACGTCGTTTGAATAGAGAGTGTATGTATTTGGTCGATTAACTTGAATATTTAAAACTATAACACCTGGCAGATGTGTTTTGATGAGTTGACTTATTTTGACTTTTGTGAGTGACTCTACTTCGACAATCAATGGTGCAATTCTAAATTCAGATTGTATATTTATCTTTTTACGTTGCTCAACTTCATCTACTGGTCCTTGTGGTGTAATGATGATTGGTGTATCTATCCTTGAGTTTGAATTATCCTGTAAATGAACACCTTTTCTTCGTCCTCGATTACCTCCGCGTCGTTTAGGCGGCATTGGACGTTGTTGTCAAATACAACAATATTTTTAGATGCAATAATTTATTATATAAAATAAATATAAATAGATATATTTTCTTTTTCTTTTTCTTTTTCAACTTTAATTTGCCCTTGTTTGACATTTCAGTGCAGAAAATCGTTAAGAGGATAACGAGACGTGCGTCTAATCGATAGCGTGCAAAATTTTTCGTCTTTGGTACTTGCTATTTGAAATATCAAGATTTCGTGAGTTTCTTGGATTTTCACATTTTCTTCGAATGGTCAATTTCTTGATCGTGACAGTATTTCTTATTCTCGAGGAAACCATTTCAATAACTGATAATTTCAAGACATAAAAAAAATATCATTTCTTTTTGCAATAATAGTTAGCGATGCAATGCAGCGTGAAAGTGCAATAGCTGGTGACTATTGGAGTTATTCATTACAGCATGGAAAGAAAGATCAAGTTGAAGTTGCATTACAAAATATTGAACAAAAGTAAGATTTATATCCTTCTTTTCTTTCTTTTCTTATTACAATTGCAATTTCTTTTTAAAGACTAATTGATTTGAAAGAACGAATACATAATATTAATACTAATAATCAAGTATTAGTAAGTTCTTTTTTCAACATATTTTCCTTATTTAATTATCCTTTCTTATAGAATTATGATCAACAATGGTTTTCACCTGATGACTGAAATTAAAGAAAAATCTTCGTTTTGATTTTCTCAACAACCCAGTAGACAATGCAGTGAAACCGATCTTTGTTAGAAACATTCTCTTTTTGTATCTTAACTTTTTAGATACATATATATATATATATGTATGTATGTATGTATTTAAATTATATTTGAGATTATGTTGTCACTTTTATTCATGATAAGCTGTATTATTATTGCTACACTGACAAACTATTGCACAGAGTTAAGTCTTAAGTCAAAATGAAGATGTCAAAATTTTGAAGTCGCGGTTTTTGCCAATACAAAGCTTCTCGTTTGCCGTTGACCGGTTGAATCATTGACTGGCATGACCATTGTACGGTTTTGTCTGAACAGGCGAGATTTGAAGTTTATAATGACTTCATGCATCGACATCAGACAAACTATTGGTAAAACGAGAGGTACCAAGTACACAAGAAAATTAAACGTGTCTGATTGCACAAGAAGAAAATTTGGATTGATATAGTTTTGTCCAAGCTGGCCGATAGATAATGGGATCCAAACAGCAAGATAAGCAAAAGAAATCATTCCTAATTGTAAAGCCAGTTTTCTTTGTTTACGCCAATTATTCTGAACACGACCGACCACCACCAAACTTTGTTTAATAACTCGTACAAAAAGAGCAAGATTGAAAATAGAAATAATCAATACTGGAGAGATAACATCAAAGAAAAGATCAAATGTGCCCCAGCTTGTCATTAAATAACAGGGCAGACCACATAAAAGACTATCAAAATATCTTGTATTTTCACACATCGGACTAAAAATCACGACGATACAATAATAAATCGGTCCCCAAATAATACATAATACTAAAGGAACTATTCGAAGTAATCTTCGCTTTTGAGTCCCGAGATTTCTAAGAAAGACACTATGAAATATAAGTATATGACGTTCAATAGAGATCCATGCCATTAGACAACCATTAATAGTATTTAAGGAAAATTCATACCAAACCCACCAAGTACAATAAGCAGAAGTGGGTGGTTGAACAATGCCATTCAAGTGAAAGAAATGCATCGGCATTGGAAGATCAGTTGTCACTTGAACAAAATTAACTGCAAGTAGAACGAGTATTGAGTGATTGTGATCTTTTATAGGAGTGTGGCGATTCCAACCAAAATGAGCAAAGATAAGAATCGAAACCAAAATTGATGGAATTTCAAATGCAATTAATATTGCGAACTTGGCCGAATATGCCAATGAATAACTTACAATATTGTTTGTGTCGTTCGTTGACATCGCTTTTATAAAACGGGAAAGTGTTTTTCTTCTCTATAGTTTATCTAAAGGAAAAATCATAATCAGCGCGCTTACTTAACTATTAATATCAAGATGTTTTTGAAGATTTTCTTCTAGTAGCATTATTCTTCTAAATAGAAATTTAATTATAGTCTCTCTGTTATACAGGAATAGCATCCTTGAGTTGACATCTAAAAAGCACATGCGCATAGTCAGATTCATGATTTCAATTAGTTTGGGATAAAAATAAAATAAAAAATTGAAAAAAACTGAACTTTTCAAAAATAAAATTCAAGTTGTTATCGGTTTCAGGTTTTATGATAGGGATTGTAACCAGTGTACTGTGTGATTGATATTTTTGATCACGATCACGATCACGATCACAGTCACGAATTTTACATAGTATTGGGAGGAAAGAAGATTTTTCCATCATTCGATGGTGCCATCTGTGTGGGTGTTGTAATGATAAATATGGGACCCTGTTTGGGTTGATACGTTAAGACAAACTGGGTAGAGGTGGAGTAGCTTACCGCCACTCAGGGCAATGATGTTTATTCACTTCTTCACATATCCAGAGTGTAACAACTTCATAAATAACACACGTATATATAGGAGAGGGATAGGAGAGAGAAAGATTAGCACAACGGAAAGAGAACAGAAGGAGGAGGAAGGAGAATCGTCGAAGCGTGCCATCAATATCGGCACAGGTATGTGGATGGGTGAATCTCCTCATTACACACACCCACCCCCAATAATCACAATGATAACGAACATTTAGTAAATGTTGAAAGCGAAGATGATGTTCAACAAATTATTTAATGATGTAATATCTTCACTTTTTTCTCAGTTTTGCTTTTTTTTAAATAGTATTTAAGTATCTAGTGTATTTTCTTCTTTTTTTTTGGCTAACAGTAAATGTGATCTGTCAGATATTTTTCTGATTTAAATGCAGGGTTGCCACCTCTTCCACTTTTTCAATTTTTTCTGCTATTTTCCCGCTGTTTCGCTTTTTTCCGCTTTTTCGTATAAAACGTGTTGCATATCAAACCTACGTAGAGAATAATATTTGATATTATTGAATCAATTCTTATTGTTCACAAATACCGTGAGCCATCATTCTTTTATGTTTTGAAACTTAGATGAAATAAAAAGAAATCCAATAAATATGAAAAAAATGCCTAATGTTCTCAGAAGCACCACAAATCGGCAACAATATAAGCTTTCGCTTTTCCCCCCGCTTTTTCTGTTTTTCTTTCCGCTATTTTCCGCTTTTTAACATCAGTTTTCCGCTTTTGGGGCTTCATCAGATGGCAGCCCTGTTTAAATGTGAACTGTCAACTATTTTTCTGATTTAAATGTGAACTGTCAGATATTTTTCTGATTTAAATGGGAACTGTCAACTATTTTTTTGATTTAAATGGGAACTGTCAGATATTTTTCTGATTTAAATATGAACGTTATATTCTTAAATAAATATTTGAGACTTTCAATCTCAATGTATATATTACAATCGTGAATCAAACGTTTCATTTTCGATCAGAAACACAATTTTTTTCCAATTACAATCACGACACAATCACGGAAAAAATTTCTAATCAAGCACCCCACTAATTGTAACTATTCATGAATCCAATATGACTGGTCGAATAATTCAACTTGAATTATCTCATATGATTTAAAATCCATAAAAATGTACTATAGACTCACAATGAGACATGGATCCGATTCTACCCATGTCACTCCGTGCGTTTTGGTGCGCGCACATAACGTTGTGCGCACTTGGTGCGCGTAGAAACGTAACGCTCGGTGCGCGTACGTACGTGACGTTTCTACACGCACCAAAACGCACGGGGTGACATGGGTAATTACATGAAAAATAAACTTTCTGGTATTATAGTAGTTTTCAAGGGATGACACACATAATCAGTGAAAACGATAATATGTCATCGTTTTTATGATAGTCATTTTTCCTGTCAGGAGATTAATTTTTCCAAAATCAATCATATCATGACAAACTAGACTGAATGAACTCTTTATTCATCCTAGCAGGTGTAAGTTTTACTATTTCTTCAATACTTTATTTTGATCCCCACGTAATTAGTTTCTGATTTTTTAAATCGGTGCTCTAATGCTGTCTTCTTATTCTGTATAAGATGAGCGGATTCATTTTTTTTATGAACACTCGGGTTCTCTTGAATGAGCGTGACAGAATCACCTTTCAATTATAAAATCTTTTTAACGCATTTTTTCTGTTTTGTTTTTGAGATATTATCATTTTGTATGCATGTGTGAGTATATAGAGGGTATTAAGGAATCTCATTGTGTGATCTAAAACACATTTTGCGATTATTTGGATGTGATTTCAGTGTTGTTTTTCAAAGATCATCATTCACATAGTGGTGGTTGATAAATATCAACTGTATTATCACTCTATTTACACTCTTTCCTAATGTCGAAATAGATCCACCAATCGCATCGCAATATACTTATCGTTCTGTTTCTAATTTTCTTTATTAATTAATGAATGAATGTCGTTCACGATCTGAATGTATATGATTCGACGGTTGTATCATCCGTGTTTGTAATGAAACGCTTGTTGATATGTTTTGAGGGATAATTTTATCTCGAAATAGCTTTAACAGCGGCTGAACGAGGAAAGAGATATCGTGATAAATTAAAACAGCACTATATAGTATAGGTACAATTAATTCAAGCAAAAGGATCGTGAACAAAAGGCTAAAAATCTAGAGTTGATGAACGAAGCGCAAAAAGATAAATATCACGATAATCATCGAAAGGCTCAAGAGCAATATCGCAAAAATTAAAATCGAAAGTCATAAATGGAATGCAGCCTAAGTAAATGTAATCGAAAGACAGATTTTTACTGATCTTCTTGTTTAAATTTAGCTCTGTATATCGTACAAAACAAACATTTTCATAAGCTACCAAAAACGTTCTACGTGCGTCATCTAAAACTATGGCTCAGAAAAAGCAAGTTTTACAGCATATTAGTCAAGATCTAGGCATATTACCAAAACCAAAAGCTATGCGAATTCAATCGAAAATACCAGCGTCAGCTCGGACAAAAGTTAAACAATTTTATCTTTAAAGATTACATTTCTTGGCAAGCACCCGGTAGGCGGGATCATAAAACTATTAAAGAAAATGGTGTAAAAGTCAAATACTAAAAACATCATTTATTGTATAACATTCGTGAAGTGTATGAGCTGTTTCTTGAAGAAAATTCAAGTAAGAAGAACGACACGTATCTAAATCAGTTTTGACAGCTTTTAAGTAGAATAATAAAAATTTCTTCAATAAAGAATGGTAAACCAAACGGATGAAGTTTAGAAAAATTAGATTTTCTATCTAACTTCTTCCTTTTTTTAAATAACTAGATTTATCAATCAGTCGATCAACATTTGCTAAACTACGACCGAAATACGTTTTATACCAAAATACTTTACCACATCAGGTGTGTTTATGTATCATACATGAGAACATTAATCTCCCTTTGAATGCTCTCTCAAAAGAAATAAATGGGCTTAAAAATAATTTGGGTCAATATACATTGAAAATGGTATGTGACAAAAATGATGAACATTGTATGAAGTCGTGCTGTCATAGTTGTAAAAACAATTTTTAGACGCAAAATCATGCGAAAAATAATGAACAAAGCGAAAGTTATGAGCTGGTATCAATGGACTACTGTTGGTGGACGTGTTGTAAAAAAAACAATTCTCAGGTATGAATGAACGTTTCATTTGATTATTGTAGCTAACACGAATAATCTCGTTTAAAGGAACAGTTATTCAATGTGTAAAACAATTACAGAGAAAGACACCCCAATACTTATGGGACGTCTTTGTCAAACGAAAACAAAGTGGTTATTTTGATCATATCAAGGAAAATGCTGATGATACAACTGTTGTCTGCCAGGTGGACTATACTGAAAGTTACACGCTTCAAGATCAAGATCAAATACAGTCTGCTCACTGGTCGAAGAAACAAGTTTCAATATTCACGGCTTATATTTGGATGGGTGGTAGTGGATGGGATGGTTATTCGTTTGGATTCGTATCAAATTTGAAAAAGCACGATAAATTTACTGTTATCACTTATTTAGAAATTTTGATCCAAGAAATAATTGCCCTCATGCCCGATGTTGATCAAATTATCTTTTTTCGGATGGTGCTGCCAGTCAGTTCAAGAATCGTTATATCATTCAATATCTAACAAACATGATGGATAAATCCGATATCAACTTACGCTGGAGCTACTTTTCGTCATCATATGGCAAGGTGTGGTGGATTCAATAAATGGTACGTTGAAACGATTTGTTTGGATGGGTGTGATGGCTGGTGCTCGTTGTTCATCGGCGAAAGAATTCGTTAATATTTGCAGGCGCAAGACAAAAACAATTCTTGTCGCTCTTGTTCAACAAGCACAATTCGATACAACAGAAGCGTTACTCAAAACCTATTTTCAAAATATCGTTGGTGTACCTAATATTCGAAAACAACATCATATAAATGTCCTGAATAAAGATGTTATTGAATGTGCTCTATATGCAACATGTAAAGACAAATATGTATTTAAGTTTTGAATTTTTTTGTACATTACGCTGTACCATAAGAATTGTAGTACTATTTTATCTGATAGGCATTTTTTAACACAGGTTTTATAAATTGTTTTATACTAAACACTACTTATATATTCTATTTCATAAACTATATCTATGTTTCGGAAGAAATAAAATTTCATTGAATATCAACATTTTAAAAAAATGATTCCGTCACGAAGCCTTTTCCACTCTTCAAAGTCGTGGTTTTAAATATTTTTAATTTTCTCTTTTTATTCAGATAGAATGACATCTCTACTACAACTTTCCCATTGAATTTTTTTCTTCGCAGCTTCAGTTGAGCTAACTTTTCCAGTTCTTCACCTGGGACTCGACCTCGAAGACCATTTTTGGTGATTCCATAACGAACCTATATTTTAATCATAAAATTGTCATGAAACTTTTGAACCCTATGAAACTTTCAGAGTATGTAGAGCAATGAAGCTTGAATATATTCTGAAAATTTCAGCTTCATCCAATATCATTAAGTGGAGATATTCAAGATCCAAAATGAAAAAACGTGATTCCGTCACGCTTGGGCAAGTTGTTCAATAAAAGGTGCTCGTGTGGCATGCGTATTGATCATCAAACCATAAAATCCGAGGATATTTATTTTATGGACTTTTTAAGATAAGAAGTATCGAAATTACAGCAAATCTTATTTTTTCATTCCTATCTTCGAACTATAATGATTTTCGTAATTTTATGTGCATATATTAAAAATCATTCAAAAAATATTCGAATGCTCGAATTTTGGCCTGATATTTAATGATGAAAAAGGATTTTGCAATTGCTCGGTTGATAGGCATAGCTAAATGATGTTACAATCTCCGTGCATGTATAAAACTCTTCAAAAACCTACTGCTCCGTAGATCTTAATGAGTAAAACAAACTTTTTCAAGCAGAATCTTTGAATCTAGCATATCCTTTTCATATTTATTGTACTCATAAAAACTACGCTGAACGAAAAATGTCATACTCATGATAATTTTTGTTGAAAAAACATGGAAGATCTGTCTAAGATGCTATTTTTTCATATCTCTGGTTCGATCAATAACTCGATGATTCTAGTTGTTGCTATTATTCACTCAATAATTGTTTTCTTTCAATTTTTGTACTTTACTCTGAAAGATTCCTTCTTTTTTTTCTAAATAAGTTTAATGCATCAACTGAATTCAACAAATATATTTACCTTAGTTTTTTAGAATGAACTTCAAAGTTAAAAGGACTCTTAATGAGTTTTACTCTTTTCCTTTGCATCTAATTGAGATATATTGAACTCATTTATAATATCCCTTTCATCCTTTCCTCTCTCAAGAGTAGACACACGAGCGCTTGCTTGCATTCTCCTCTGACATCATCATCCTCATCTTGTTGAATGAAGAGAGAAGTTAACGGCCCAGGTCCATCATTCAGACCGTCTGAAAGATGGCATTAAACTGGCAGAAACGGTTAAAAAACGGCGTAAATAATGCCCTAAACGATGAAAAACGACCGCCGCTTTTAGCCGTTTTTCACCGTTTTACATGTGAGTTATCCTGGTCATTTATACTTTTTAAACATTCTAATTTAATAAAATTATTATATATTTATTTTCAAAAGAAACGTCAACATAGAAAATAGCATGAAATAAAACGAAAAGTCATCGGAAAAGATTAAAAACACTAATACAATCTAAAATCTAAAATAAAGTAAAAAGAAATAAAAGGAAATGAATAATATACAATAAAAAGAAAAAGAAAAAAGCATGAGAAAAGAAAATGAAATAAAATAGGTTGAACGATAGCGTCTAAGTAGCTATATATGTTATCCATATTTATATCTCCAAATAAAATAGATGTAAAACGGTAAAAAAACGTTCACCTTAGAAGGTAGCCGCTTCCGCCAACACCGAAACCGTCACCTAAAAGGCCATCGTTTTTCGCCGTATCACATTGTTTTCCGGTACTTCGTCGCTGACCATAGTAACGACTGCCGCTTTTCGCCGTTTCTAGTCGTTTACGGACCGTTCTATTCGACATGGGGGTAATTGTCGTTACGATAAAAAAGATTCATCGTCAAATCTGAAGCTAAATTTATCTATTAGCGAACTGCTAAAAACTAATCAACAAATAACTGCTGCTGCTTTTGATACACCAGGTGCCTATAAACTGCAAAGAGATGATCGCTTTCTTTCGTCAAAATCCAAATGTCGCGTTTGGTGTTCATGAACTTCTTACTCATCATACTCATCCTCACCGCCTGAATGCTCCAACTCAATCATCAACTCCTAAAAGCGCCTAAACGAAATTTAGATTCAAGTGATAATGACGCTAGTGAATGTACTCACCCAGCGAGTACTCAAAAAGTACTCAAACTAGAAAATACAGCGAGAACTCATGAGCACTCTTGAGTTTAAGTACTCATCAGCAGTGCTCGTGCTAAGATCTGAGTATCTGAGTACAACTATCGAGTACTCGCTCTGTAAACTCGTGTGTTTTGCGAGTACTCATCATTCATTTCCTCAGAACTCTGGTGGGTTTTTGTAAAATATCCAGACATCTATGTTTTGTTCTCCATCTTTCTAATGCGTTCAATTTATTTTATTTAAAAACTGATGATAGAACAGTGACTAGACCTACGACAGTTCCAATTAGTTCCGATCTTCAGAACTGCCTCACAAGTTCTTTGATCGGAAACGAATTATCTGAACAGTTCTTTGATCGGAACTGATCAGTGTAAAACAGCACCGTGATCATCTATATGGGCAGGGCTGCAACAGTTCCCGGAGAAGAACTGTTCTGTCGAAACAGTTCCCGAAAAGAACTATGTATTGGGTACAGTTCTTTGAAAAGAATCGGTTCCAAGAACTGAGAGCTGTCGTAGGTCAAACAGTGACGCGCATGATAAGAATTTCAGAAACGATTTGTTTTATTATCTTAAAATACTTTTTAATTAGGACATAGAGATAAAACATTTATCAGCAGAATGCAAGAAAAACTAAATAAAAATCTCTATTGAAAACATTACAACATATGTAAACACAATCATAAACACAAGTGAGAAATAAATTATGGATCGAATTAAGATACGCGATTACAATACACATTCACTGCATATCGTTACAAACAACACGAACAATTTAAATCGAAAACTATTATCGTTAAGTAACAAATAAAGAATCGATGAACTGTCTTCTGTATGATAGATGAATCTTCAGAATATTGAAATTTATAATTTTGTGCAAAAATTTATCATTCGCCTTGTTTCATTAGTTTTCCTAAAAAAATTAAATTTTTATTTAAAACGATATTTTATCTTTGAGTTTAGCTTTTAAAATGTAACAAATAATTTTGTAATTTCAAATAAATATTTAGTCTCACTCGAGAGGGGAATAGCTGAAATGAAATGGATTTGTTTTTCTATTCTTTAAATAGCCAATTGACTACGGGACATGAATGACTCACCACAAAATATGGAGGATGAAATCGATAATTTGTTTAAAGATTTTTTTCCAAAATTTCGGTTCATTATACAGTTGTTCTCAATTACACAATATTATTTTATTTTCATGCATCTTACTGCATAGATGTTTTGCTGAATACGTTAGGAAAAACGACGATAAGTACTATCTCGAGTACTCGTATTTTCGTGTACGAGTAATTCTCAGAGAGAAAACTCATTGGAGTACTCGTCATAGTACACGAAGAGTATTGCTACACAGAAAACTCATCGAGTACTCATTCGAGCAACCTGAGTACTCATGCTGCACAGTCGTACTCGCTGGACGAGTACTTTCACTAGGAGCACAACCATCAAAACAACAATGGGTGTTATCAAACGATAAATTAAAAAGACCCGTGAAATGAATTTACCGAAGGTTCCAAGCCTTGTGCACCAAATGAACAATAATCTGCAATTGAATCAACCTCGACAACAAGCATCAGTACAACAGCAACATCGAATTCCTTTTGAACAGTTAAAACGTACTATTTCAAGCAATCTTCCATGCTTTTTCATTCAATACGAAAAAGCAGACAACTCGAAGAATAGGCCATCGGATATATCAGCAGCACGGGTAATCGAAGATCATTTCAATCAACAAGGAATCTCGATATCGTTTTCAATAGTCGGCCATACAGGTAATAAATTAAAATTAGGAGTTAACAACAAAGAGTCGTATGCAGCATTAATAAAGACGGATAAATGGCCGCCACAAGTCAATAATATCAACATCACCGTGAGTAAGCCGAAATTTACTCCGGATACCTTTGCGCTTGTGGTTGGATATGTACCTTCTCAGTACGATGACGAGTTTGTCAATGAAGAAATTAAACGATAATCTGCAATCAGTCGAAAATATCAGACGTATTCAATATCCCTTCCAACGAAATACAAATGATTTTCGATTTATTATTAAAGGCGTGGATGAATATAATTCAACTTTTAAATTAGGTCGGATATCGATTGGAAATACATTTTGTACTATTACACCATTCCTGACCAGGATTACTAAATCTCCTGTTTTGACCAGAGATCTCCTGATTTTGAAACTTTTCTTCTGATTTCTCCTGATTTTTGTAATGCGACGAATAACTTCGCTTTGAACCTATAGCGATTTCCAAGAGAAAAGAACAAACCTGTGGAAACGTTAAACTTATATATGGAATGATAATTGAAATCAAATGAGTCATAATCTAGTTGGAGCGGAGTTGAAGATTCAAATAAACATTCATTTTCAGTGTTGCCAAATGTCGAACTTGAAAGCTCTGAAACTTGGGGAGCTTTTCTCAAATGTTGCAAAAATGCGGAAACGTTTTTTGGGTTCGTTTTTTCATTTAAAGTACGTTTTACTCTAACAGGTTCGAAGCAACGATACTCTTTATACATATCTACAACATATGTTTAAATAAAAAGGTGCACATTCACGAAGGCTACCTGACGTCAACCTCGAAAATTCAAAAAATTCAGGAATTTGTTTTTCGAAATCTAGAAAAAATCGAGAAAAGCTTTAAAATTTGGAAAAACTTTCGAAATCTGGAATTTTTCCACAAGATGTGGGCATCTAGCAACACTGTCTGTTTTGCTTGATCATAACTCTATGATTATCTTTTAAATGAACCAGATCTTTCGAAATATATATTCGACTGTTAGATTTAAGTAGTCACGTCGCACAACTGTCACGCATTGCTGAGTAGATTGGCTAAGTAGTGTTTACTATGTATTCTAATGAACACGTTTTAATTATCTATTTAAATAAACTTTATGAAGTCAGCATTCTATTTTCAATTTTAATCCGCCTACAAGAAAAATTTTCAGCATCAATCCCATTATAGGAAAAGAGGTTAATGCATCTATTAGTGAAAAGTCGGAAGTTATCAGATAAAAATGATTGAATAACTGTTGAATGTCAAAAAGAATCCTCCCGATTTTTCTCCTGATTTAGGAAAAGAATTCTCCTGAAAAGAGTAGTGGCCTAATTCGACTGCAAATATAAATGAAAAAAAACCACTTTCATGTTTCCACGTAATCGCCGGGAAAAGATTTCCTTTTTATAAATTATAAAATTTATAAATTGACTTCGTTCTCATTTCTAATTTAGGAATCGATTTACATTTCCTTTTCATAAACTGTAAAATTTATAAATTGACTTCGTTCTCATTGCTAATTTAGGAATCGATTTACATTTCCTTTTCATAAACTGTAAAATTTATAAATTGACTTCGTTCTCATTGCTAATTTAGGAATCGATTTACATTTCCTTTTCATAAATTATAAAATTTATAAATTGACGTCGCTCTCATTTATAATTTAGGAGTAGATTTACATTTCCTTTTTATAAATTAGAAGCTTTACATTTTCGACGTCAAATGTACTGAGAAAGTTGATATCGTAGTAAATTAGGCTTGTCGAATAGTTATAATTCTCATATACACTTTAGAAAAGTGTGTATAAATATTTTTAGTGAAATTTAAATTTTTTCGGATGGAAGCTTTTGATTTCTTTTACGTCTGGTTCAAATATTGCTGCTGAATGATGTGTTATATTTAGATCAACAGTTTAAGAAAATCAGACCTGATTGTTGGTTTTGAATTTTAGTGGTTTGAAGTGTTTTGCTATATGTGGTAATATGAGTTTTTATGTTCCGACGTTGTATTATGATGGACAATGCTTTTCGTATGGTTGTGTATTGAATTGTTTTCATAGCCTCGTTTTGTAGTCGCCGGTGGACGTAAGTGTATTTTGACGATTGTGAACTCCATTCTGTATACTTTCGATTGTTTGAATTAAAAGTTTGAGCACATTTTATGACCTTGATATGTGAATTCATTTCATTTCGTCATTGCTTCCTTTCTGCCTGGTTTGCATGGAGTTGCTATAAACAGGCTGTTTGCATACCCAGGTCGAACAGTACGGTCCGTATACGGCCGTTGACGGTTAGTTTACGACTATTTTACGGGCGAAAGTTTGCCGTAATATCTGGCGCAGCAATACAGACCGTATTATCATGAGAGTATGGAGCACAAACAGCCGTAAACCATGAAAATTCAGTCCCGTTTACGGTGCCGCATTACTGCGCCAGGTATTACGGGCAAATACTGCCTATTTACTGCCGTAAATATACCGTTTTGACATCGTTTACCGTCGATAAACAGACCGTAAACCAGTCCGTTTTGATCAACCTGGGTAATGCTTCACAAGATTAGAATTTATTTTATTTCGTTCATTTTCATCACAAATTGAATGCTTTAATTTTCGGAATAAATCATTTCGACAGATATTCTTTCTATGGAAATTATAAAATTGGATTATTTATTGTTTTATTCCGATGTAACGCATAGGAAGGACGTGGGTGTGGAATGTGCCTGTGCAGGTGGATCCGCGTGTCCGCCTTTTCTCGCACCCACACTTGCCATGACGTGTGTGTATATGTGTAAACCAGTGTATCGGCCTTTTCTCGCATCGGCTTCGACACCCACACCCTTATTGGTGGGATTCATGAAGCCGTTAGAGTTAAATTGGTGGAGCTGATATTTGTTGAGTGTATAGACCTTACTATTTTATAAATCCATAGAAAATTTTAGCACACTGGAATTAGCTGTTGTTGAGATATAGCGTGGTCAAAATCGGATTTAGTGAAACTTGAAATTCGAAGGTTTAATTTTGAAACTTGAAGTTTCCGTTGAATTCAAGTTTCAAGTATGAGATATATGAATATATAAGCAAACATTATATGCCTAGGCGATTGATAAATATTAATCATGAAGAAATTTACATTTGCATCATTTACGCAGTCCAAGTTGTTTCAGACAAGCTTAGCTGCAGTGCTCTGCACTTCAAGAAATCCATTCCATAAGTACTCGTCTAACAACATAAATCACCTTCGACAAGAAGACACCGCAATGCTTATTCTACGTTATAATGGTTGTAAACTCCCTAACTACGACTTGATGCAGACCAAACTTTCAGAATAAGATAGCAATATACATAAAGAAAAAAATTGAGTATTACGTGCGATACCAAACAGGAAACTCTGAATATAACCTCTCTCAAACTTACACCAGTAACAATTAGCCCATCTTCAAATAAACAACGGTGATTGCAGGAATTCGACTATGCTATATGCAAAGAACTCGAAAAATAGAGGTACTTTTACAAATAGTACTAAAACAGGCCACGAATTGAACTGGAAGCTCTTAGTGATATCACAGGTTTAAAAGGTCTCGACACATCACGAGCACAGCATCGGCGGTTACAAACAACAAATATCTATACATACGCGATTTTTTGAGAACACGAAGCTAGAAAAGCGCAATAAAGAAATGCACTAATACCATGCAGCTAACATATGAAAAAAGGTACATTTTCACATTAACAACAAATCGTAACTCAGCACATCTATCCCATACCGAATGGAAGATAAATTGCAGAGATATTGTCACTCGACTTTCATGTCCATATTCTGATTCTAACCAAACATCAAATACGTATCCTAATACGTCATTAGAAAAGCTCATTAAAGATTTAGCTAATTAATAAATTTTATAATTTTTAAAAAGAAAATCTAAATCTATTCCTAAATTGCAAATGTACTGCCAGTTATATGATGTTTTGCTTTTGCTTTGGGATGGTTTTTAAATGGTCGTGATTTTTCCTCATTTTTTCTCGAATTGTGAATAGTTATTGAGATGTCGATTTATATTCGAAGTCGAACTAGGCATCTCATGCCTAGAACATTCTCTGCTATAACGTACAAGGGTGGGAGTCCAGAAGTTTAGAAATGATTGATATTGTTTATAAAACAGAAGCATCAATTGGGTGTTTACGGAAGTTGGAGAGTTATGGAATACATCTCAAATACCCCGTTTTAATATTTTTCATCAACATGAAACTAATAAAAGTGGTAGTGTATGTATAGTTATGGGGAAACATTTAAAAGGATCAAGAATCAACTTAAATATTGAAAATATAATTCTGTCGATGTCGATGGCCTCTCTGAAACAGATATAATAATTACTAATTACTGGCCAGCAGGCCAAACAAGAGTTTTAGAAGAATTAGAGTCATATGTCACTAAAAATACAATCATAACTGGTGATTTCAATGCATCCGTAAAATAATGGGGTAGCAAGTCAGCAGATAAAAGAGGTAGAATTTTGAAAGAATGGGTGGGAAAAAACAATCTTTGCTACATTCCCTCATTATCGCATTCTTCAAAATGTTCGAATAGGAACATTGATTTAACATTTACAAATTTAGGAGGAACAAGGGGAGAGACTCTAATGATGGGCACCAGTGATCACTGGCCAATAATGATAACTTGGGAGACTAATATTTGATAAGAACAGTATTTTTCCCCATGTGCATTGAAAGGCGTGCGAAGTCATTCTCACGTTGTTACAAGAATTTTGGCAAAGAGAGCAGATTAGATGGATGACAGCGTATGATTGGTATATGAATTATCTGCGTTTTCTTGCTGCTTTAAAAAACAGATTAACACAATGGAAAGGAAAAGAAAAATTTTGACCAGCTTTACCTCCTTATCTTATTCAGAAGCCACAAGAAGTTAAACGAGTTAGATATAAATACTATCGAGAGAGACAAATATATAATATTAATGAAGAAACAAGAGTGCTACTGCGGGTGTTAACAAGAGAAGTGAAAATTGAAATTGCAAAATATAAGACGAGTAAATGGCGAGAGTTTCTGTCAAAAATTTCAAGAAACAAATGACAATAAGGAGTAGGCGTTGTGGCTTTATCTTTCGGGAATATATAAACATAGATCATTACCGTTTTCGAAACTAGATACTGGTACAGTACACTGTAAAAAAAAGGATTT